AAAACATCTGTACCAAAGGATGAAGTCCGAAGAAGTGACCGAGATGTGCAAATACTGAAGCAGGGGAACATTCCATTTTGTTGAAGTGTTCAGGCAATGGTTGCTGTGTCTGTGCAGCCGAGGTGCATGATCGCCTGCTGAGTCTGGACATGTCCCACTGGAGAGTTGAACCTCAATAACAAGGGCAAAGGTGCTTTTGTGCCTCCCCACACCCCAAATTCCTAACTCGACCTACTTATACTGGTGACAGAGCCAGATGAATTCTAAGCAGTAATCTGAGTGAACAGGCAAGCAGATGGGGGTCTGTATCTAGGTAATTTAAGGGTCACCAAAAGCCCTGTCTGGATCACTGTCACCTGTCTCCCTTGCCCTGACGACAGGGCTTAAGGTCCAAGGGTACCTACAGATGTTGAGTTTTGAGTCACAGCCCACACCTCCATCAGCCTTAAGGCAAATTGGTTGATCAGATGAACAAGAGGCATGGAAGAAAGTGTGTCATGAACACTACTGGCAGGGCTACGTGGCTGAGGGGCCTGGGTAAGGACATCAGGGAGCACCCAAGGAACCGAGGTAGGGAAAGAACTTGATGGGGGTGGGGGACACAGAATGGGGAGAGAATGGAGACCAAAGATGACCATACACTGAGCATGCACTGGTCAGCGGCCACCCAGTGCACACAGCTCACAAATCAGAAGTTACACATGTGCCAGTTTGCCCAGCACGCACCAAAGTGGATTTAATCTTTGCTTTGTATTAAAGGCCAAAGAAGTAGCAGGAGCCCTCCTGGAAGCCACCATTCCATCTCTGGGGTGGGGTCTGGAGTCAGTCAAGGAGAGCTCTATTACTAGCTTTCAGTTTTGGAAAAGCCTTATTTCTTTATGAGTCAAAAGTTGGGTCTGAGCCATGCCTCTGTCCCCTACGTCCAGGGCTAGGATCTCTGAGCCTCTGTCTAAGCCAACGTACTTTGATTGAGCCTCACTTATGTACCAGGTATGGACTGCAGAGGCCCAGGAAGGGGTGCAATGAGTTCACAGATCAGTAAAGGTCATCACCCTTTCCACTCCATTATTGATAAAAATGAGAGACTTGTGGGGTGCCTGGGTGGCTGAGTCGGTTAAGCGTCCGACTTTCGCTTGGGTCACAATCTCGCGGTTCGTGGGTTCGAGCCCCGCGTCGGGCTCTGTGCTGACTGCCAGCTCAGAGCCTGGAGCCTGTTTCAGTCTGTGACTCCCTCTCTCTCTGACCCTCCCCTGCTCACACTGTCTCTCTCTCTCTCTCCTAGAAATAAAAAAAACAAAAAACCAAAAAAAACCCATTAAAACAAAAAAAATGAGAGACCTGTATCTTCCTGACAGGCATAAAAAGAGAATGCACCAGGCAATACTCCATAAACTCAACAGCCCTACAGAAATGACAGGACTTTTCCTGAAAACGGACCAGGGTAGGGTTTCCTACATAGTTCTTTGAAGTGTGCACAGGGATTCTATTAAAATAAAACCAATGTTCATAATCATTTGTCTTCTCTACTTAACATATTGCTTTGCAAGGTGTGCCATGCCTGGGGACTCAGGGAAATTGCATGAGGTGGCTGCGTACAAACCACATTTTGTACTTTCTGTATTTGGTGCTTTGACATTTTGGGGCCTTGCAGACCCTAGAGGAACTGCTCCTTTCAGGGCTGGCCAATTCCTAGAAATAGGGCATGACTCACTTTCCAGGGCACCTTTCATAGGCAAACCAACCAACCTAGGGCCCACACCCCAACCATCTCCTTTATGGGTCTCTCAGACTCTGTGCTACTACTATTTACTTGCCCTAATCACCCGGGTCCCTGAGAACTAGAGACAAGCCCCTCTACCCAAGAGCCTACTAAAATTATTCAGACTCACCAAACCGAAGCCTGTTTATGCTGCCCCAGTCAATCTTTTCCACGGAAACCACACTAGGAAGCTCTTGCCCACATCGCCCACTCGCTCTGCCTCCTGACCTACCCTGGTGCTTCCCCATGCGGCCTCTATGGTGTCTTGTGCCTGTTTTTAGAGATCTGGGAGCATAAACCCATTTGATTTCAAACAAATCTTGGGAATCCTTAAAACAGCTTGGTGCATGGGTGCACGACATCTGATGTGCACGGGGATGGACATCATGGACCAACAGCATGCCTGGTGGCAGGGACAGACCTGTGTGCTGCATCTACACCTTTAATTTCAACACAGATTTGCTTTGCAAACATAGCAGAGCGCTGGGTTAAGGGTAGGAGCTCAGGGTTAGAATGGGTATGAATGTAGGTCTCCCACTTCCCATAAATGCACCTCTGATTCTTATGTGCATTAGTTTCCTCCTCCGTTAAGATGTGACAATGCCAACAGTACCACTAATAAGGTTGGCAGGAGGACTCAATGAGATTATCAGTGCAAAGACTGGGCCCAGGACCTGGGACTTAGGAAGCACTCCTAAGGTGAGCTATTGTCCAACGTTTATTCAGATGTAAACCTACAAAATCAAAATTAAAGTATTTCTTACGGTACGTTAAACTCTATTTTATAGGTCAAAAATAATTGAATGTTGGTGATTTCATAGGGTTCCATCTTAGAAATTCATTTGCTTCTGACATTGTTGTGGTCTCTTTTCATCCAAGTGAGAATGATATTTCAGGTTTCCCACAATTACATTTGAAGACTCTTGCCTCGGGAAAGCCCCCTCAACTTTGGTTTGTTCAACAGGCTCTGGAAAGACATTCTGGAACTCTTGGTTTTTAATCATCCACTTTTCAATGCTGTGTGTTTACAGCAGTAACAGTTTCCGGGAAAAAAATTCACACATAATTTCCACACATTCTTTCAGGCAAACAAACACTGTCTCAACTTGAAGTGAAAATAAAGCTTTGCTGGTTAAAACAACAACAACCACCACCCAGGTATTCACAATGAAGCCTGGAGCCTGCCTCTTTCCTTGAAACCCTCTAAAATGTGATAAGCGACAGGAAGCTTCAAAGTGATATTCAGCAGCATCTTAACGGAGAGTTGTGGAAATGTAAATTAACAAAAGATGTGACTGCTGCTCAGCAGCCAATCACAGGTCTGTTCCTTAATTAAGCGGTGTGCCGTTGTCATGGGGACATGTGGGCGCAGCATCCCAGACTTCCCACAGTCTTGGCACTCTGGGGGCCAGGGTGCCTTCCCCTTCCTCGAACGCAGCCACATGGGATGTTCTGGTACTCCAGCAACTGGCATCATGGCCATAATACACACTTTAAGCAAACTGCGAACCACTGCTTATATTAATTCAAGGATAAAGCTGTTGAAAGGGGCACCATAGGCGTGAGGAGTACCATTACAGTTTCTATGGGATGGCATGTAGTATCACAATAGTGCGGTGTTTCAAAAAGTCCATGACCCCTTTCATTAGAAGCCCAAGGTTCTTTCCAATTGTACAATTCCAACCCCACCCTGAGATCTCCTGAACTAGAATCTGGGTTTTAACAAGCTGCCTCACCAGGGCTGGCATCATGCCGTGTGTCCTACTAGGTGTCTCGTAGGTCACTTTCTTGAACTAGGCAGCCCAACCAGCTACCATTTACTTATTTGTGTGGTTCATGGAACATTCATCTCATGAGGGTTAGGAAAGCCGTTCAGAGGAGTCGGGTTAGGCATGGTCAGGCTTTGGCTTTATCCTTTTGGCCCAGATTTAGGGCACCACTGCAAAAGCTGACCTCCCTTCACTTCCAACCATTTAGGAACCCCGTTTGGGTAGGTTCCCAAACAGCGCCAAGTTAGCCAAGGAGTCCCTCATCCGAGCATGAGCCCTAAATATTAGGCTTGAAAATCACTTTGGCAGGACCAAAGTGTTTAGCATCTAGTTCAGACTTTTAGACAAAGTAGGTATATTTATGCAAACAACAGAGGATCGTTTGAGGGTGAAGGAAAGATCCTGGCTAGCTTTAGCATTAGGATTTGGGGCCATTACGTTGGCTGATTCTAATGGTAACTCTGGGTCTGATTTGGCGGGTAATGGACTCCATCATGGGTCCAGAGGCTGCCCAAGCAGGGCTGCCATCAACTCCCTGGAGTCTCCATGTGTCCATCCATCATTTCTGTGCCTCATCTTCCTGTCTGTTTTCCTTTGGTATTTTTCTCCTTTCCTCCCCCGCCCCTCCCCCCATCCCTGTCAACATTTCCTTCTGTTTTGGCTATCTTTGAGGTTTTATGAAATGCTAGATCATTCAAAGTGATTTGTTTTGTGTTGATGTTTGAGGAGCGAAGCAAATAAAATGTAGGCTTTTCTGTGCTAGGCTCCACAGTGGGGCTGTGGGCTGCAGACTGTACTTCAAAAGTTCTGCCATCGGGCCTACATTCCCATTTTCCTAGGGTCAAAAGTGAAACTGAGGGTGTCAGTCTACTTTAGAGGTACAGCTGGAGCTTGGACCATTAGTCATCTGGGTACTTTCAGAGAGTATGATTTTTATACTTGGCTAATCTGCTTGATAATGCATCCAAATGTGGATTTTGCTGGCTCCTCGTAAAATGGCCACTTTCCATGCATTAGGGTCAGAGTGAGCAGAAGACCTATGTGCCAGACCCATAAGAACATGCTCACAGCAGTTCTGGAAAAAGGAGACTGAAGATGCAGAAACCAAGGTTATGGATCTTCACGTCACAATGAAGCCCTGTTTGGCTGTGTGTAGGCTGAGCCTGCTCTTTATTAACTGGAAGCTGTTTCCCACAGTACAGAACTACTCGATCAGCCTGAAAATAAATACATGAATAAAGTGCATTTCAGTGGGACTTCATGCACTGGCATAAACAAGTGTGGGAGTGCGTTCTTCTCAAATGGGAGACAGCATTTATGAGCACAAAACACATCTTGGGAACATGAAAATCCAAATGCAAATATGAAAAGCACATATTCTCACTCCTCCTCCCTCAGGGATTCTTATGCCCCCGTGTGCACGTTTGCATGATAAAAGACACTGCTGCAATTATATGACAATTAAAGCTTACCATTGTTGTAAGAGCGAAAATTTCCTACAAATTTTATGTATTCATAAGTTGGAAATTCCTTTGGGTTCAAGCTGCCTCTGAGAAGATGGCAATAAAACTCTAAATCGTTGTCAGCTGGGCCGTTAAAGAAAAAAAAAAAAAGAAAAAGGAACATGAATACAACATAGATTCTAGACTAAACAAGTTTATCTTTGTGTAACTCATGGGCTTTAGTCTACACACGGCCAGGACATTTCTCTCATTATGACTGACTTTTGGACATGGTTTTATAACCTTTGCAGAACAGGGGGTTCCCCCCCATAGTCTATATAGATATTCTTGCATTCTGTACTTGGGCCCAATTAGTCTTAATTTGCTCACAGATGTCTGTGGTTGGTTATGTCGGCATTGATTAGTTCCGGTTGTTTTCATATGGTGTATTAAAATAAAGCTGCTCATATAGAGCTGCTCTCTTTAATTTAATCTTTTCACGTTGCTTTGAAGTAACATCAGATATACAGCAGGACAAATTATTCATGGAAAATGGACTAAGGCTTGAACAAGCACAAGTCACTTGCATTACCTCCACCACAGCACACAGTTCAGCGAGCACTGAGGCCGCCCTTTCCATCTGGGTTGCCAGTTTTGAGGAAAACTTTAAAATTCCATAAAAACCGCAAATGTATAGAAATAACCAGATCACAGCCTCAGGAGAAGAGGATTTGGAGTTTTGACCTAATTATTCAGTTTTCAGTTGGTTACTCAGTTAACATATACATCTAACTTTACAGTGCCCTCCAAACTAAGCAGACTGTTCCCTGATTTCTGCAGTCTTGGTTACCAAAAGACTCTTGTGTTAAAAAAAAAGGAGAAGGAGGAGAAGGAAGGAGGAGAAGGAAGGAGGAGGAGGAGGAGGGGGAGGAGG